CCCAAAACAAAACAAAAAAAGTAAATGACCTGGAAACAATCATCTTAATCTTGAACAAGTCAGCAAGGTTTTTGATCCTGATTAATGTTTACTTCGTTGAATTGAGGATGTGTTCCCGTCCATCTAAGATCTAGAATCTGGAAGATAACTTAGATCAGCATATATTTACTGATGTGGATTAATTTCTGTATGGCATCAAAGATGAAAAGCACAAAATCAGACGTGATGTCTTGCACAAGGCTAAACGCTATTTGTCTTGGCCCTGGTTGTGCAACACTGGGAGCAATGTGGTGTGCCTCGATGCTCGGGGAAGGAGGGCATTCCGGTTCACCATTTTTATCCACATTTCTCCCCTTGTTAGCAACTGTGTTACAGCCATCTTATAGCCAGTCTCCTCCTCATTTTCAAATTGACTCCAATTAGGAGGTTTTACTTTGTCAAAGAGTCTAGCCTTCCTGTACTGAAGGGAAAAATGTGTAGAAATATTGTAGGGGACAGGTGTAGGTGCTTGTAGTCAAACAATGTTGGGACACCCCCATCACTCCACACACACAGTAGGGCATGGAGGAGGAGAAGAGAGTGAAGGGACACAGCACCTACCCACGAGTCTAGTGGACCACATGTGCAATATAAATATGCAGGGGTGGGGAGGTGCAGAGTGAAGTAAGTGGAAACTTGTTATTGTCTATTTTGTGAAAGTGAACCGCAGGCAAGGAAGTTGATCTTGGAATAATAATAATAATAATAATAAATTGCATATTTCTCTGGTTTGGGACACACTGAAAACAAAACACAGCGGTTAAATGAACAGAAATTTCGCACTTTTTACGTCGACGGACACTGCTCTCAGAGTTGCCCTCTCGCGATGTTTCGAGAATTTTTCCAACGAGAATTCAACCGGAAGTAAATAGTATTCATGGCATAGTAACCACTAGTGAGAGGGGACGAAATAGTAATTTAAGCGCGGATGCTATTTAATTCATCGAACTGAAATCGCTTGTAAACTTCAGAGTTAGCAGCTTCAGCGTTGAGAGGCAACAGACCTCCCTCCACCACCGGCGTTTCAATAATAAGCACAGCAGAAGGGTGGCGGGATTGTGCAGCACGCTCGGGGCCTGGAAAGACGTGTGCTAGCCCAGCCAACGTTACGCTGCGTTAACGCGGCAGTCAAGCTAACGTCACGTTTAGCATCACAGTCTGTCCACTGAAGCTGCTAGTTTCACCAGCTAATGTCAGCTGTGCTTTTACACAGATAAACAGCATCAGCCCCGATTAGCTTTAACTGTGGCGGTGGTCGAGGGAAGGCTCCTTTGGATCTAAGATGATCATTGAAAACCTCGATGCCTTGAAAACATGGCTGTCTGAAACCCTCGAGCCCATGTAAGTATGGTTAGCCATTAGCCAAAATGCTCTAGTAAATTTAGTTTAATCGGAGTTACACAAACTACTTAAATGAATGGGGGCTTGAAAGAGTAAATTTTGCTCCAGTAAAGGTCCCGTTGCTTTATTGACATTTTACTGAAGTAAAAATTCATTTTGGTTGCGAAAAAAGTTGCCAAATTAAAATGTACTCCGAGTAAACATAAGGTGTTGCGCCTTTAAAAGGGTAAGGGAGAGGAAAGGCTGTTACATGGTAATAATGTGGTGATAATATGGTGGTTAACCGTGTCCTGTAATATAACAGACATGATTAGAACATTCTTAGTCTACGAAAAAGTGTCCTTAATATACGAAACAGTACTAAGTCCCTTTTGGTTCAACTCTGCTGCATGTGCAAAATAACACTGGTCAAATATATAATTATGTAACTGCTTTCCTCAGTACAGCCAGCCTAGAAATAACCAGATTAAATAACAAAACTGTCACACTGTGTCCCCAAACTTGATTCAGCAACATTAAAAATGTCACATAACCAAGCAGCTTTATAAAGAACAATAAGGAGATGTAATAAATCTAGGCAGCACAGAGTTGCAAATAATATATTGTTAACTCTTAATTTCTGGTATCACTTACAAGAAAAGCTAAACAAAGTACTAACTGAGCCAGTTATTTATTTATGTTAAGCTTTAAATGAGCCAGAACCAATAACATTTCCTAACAACAACAGCAAAGCTACTGCCTGCTTTTGTGGTGTATTGTAAATTCAGTGGATACAGTTAGTTAACTCACCTGCATTTTGCAACTTTTATAAACGACTGTGTCCTCCCAACACGTATTGTCACAGACAAATTGTCTGGTTTTAAAAGGAAATCTTGTTCATGTGTTATATGGATTTCTTTCTTAACGATTGCAGCTGTGATGCAGACCCTTCTGCGCTCGCCAAGTATGTTGTTGCGTTGGTGAAGAAGGACAAAAGTGAAAAGGAACTTAAAGCCCTTTGTATAGACCAGTTGGATGTATTTCTTCAGAAAGGTAATTATTAAAGCTTTATTTTCCAAGCGCCATTACTTTTATCATGTGGTCCTGAATGTTATTTGACTCTGGTTTAAAATATTATTCTATGACTTTTTTTTTCTTTCCAGAAACCCAGCCATTTGTGGATAAGCTGTTTGAAGCTGTTAACAACAAAAGCTACCTCCCACAGCTTGAGCAGCCACCCTCTGTGATCAAAGTTGAGAAAGAAGAGCAGAAGAAAGATGAGGTTATCTTCTTTTAATGTCAAGAATTTCAAGTACCCAAAGATTATTAACATCAGTTAAATGCACACTTGCTAAACAGTATGAGCAACCAGTTTAAATAGGCACCTTTTTTTTGTTCAGGCAAATCGTGAAGACGAACGAGACAAGAAATTTTTGAGACGCGTGAATCACAGCCCCCCACAATCAAGTTCTCGCTACGGCAGAGACAGCAGGTGTGTGCGTTTGCCTGTTTTCATTTAGAAAAAACAAAACAAAAACCATGTCAACATGTGTTTTTCTTTCACTCATTTCACTCATTGTTTTTTAAAAATATATATTTTCAGGAGAGGAGATGACCGTAAGCGAGACGATCGCTCCAGGAAGAGGGATTATGATCGCAACCCGCCGAGAAGGGACTCTTACCGTGAACGCTACAATCGCAGAAGAGGCCGCAGCCGCAGTTACAGTCGTAGTCGTAGCCGAAGCAGGAGCTGGAGCAAAGACCGTATCCGAGACCGTGACAGAGACAGGGATAGAGACAGGGATCGAGATCGCACCAGGAGCCGGTCCCTCAGCAGAACTCGGTCGAGAAGCAGGAGTCGAGGTAAGAACTTGATTAACTCAGGTTGTAAAAATATCAGTATTTTTCTTTTTAATGTGCGAACATGCCAACTTCATTACAGATCTTAGAACATCTTATTTTTCCTGGAGATGTATTTGTTTGGTATAGGTGTGTATTTCCTCCGGCATGAATTTACCTAATCTTAAGAATTCAATAGGATTTCCTGAATAGTTCACTGTATATGATGATCTACTAGTGCTGAGCAGTTAAAGAGAAAAAGGATCAAACTAAAAACTGTGTACCTGATGCACAGGTCTGATTTGTCACTTTTGTATATGTGTTAGTGATTTAAAGCCATGTGGCCTTTCTTTTCTCTCTAGAACGAGACTCTGGAAAGTTGAAGTATGATCAT